ATATATATATATATATATATATATATATATATATATATATATTTTATGGAGTTGCTGCCAGGTTGTTGCAATTTAAGGCACTACTCCTCAGAGTTCTTCACTTCTTGCATTGGAAGCATCACTATTACAAAAGTTTAACTTCCTAGCTCAGTTTTAAAGCCAAACAAAAAAAAAAAGAGTCTCACTATTAGTTACCTGTGTGTGTAACAAATAACGAGGTGAGCCCCCCCCACACACACACACACCTTGGTTCCAGCCTGCCCATGCCACCTGCTTGGCCCTGCAGTTCCCTTTAGGAGCCACGTCCACACATGTACAAGCACGTGCAGCACAGACCAATAGTTCCTAACATGTCAGCACTATCGTCAAACCATAGTGGCCTCCAATCGGAAGGATGCACCACAGGCAGCCTGAAGACCTGAAGGAAATCTCCCCTCGCCCCTTACAAAGGGTGAGGACACGGAGCAGGGCCAGATCCAAGGTGAGTTTCAATCTGAATGCTGAGGAAAGCCTTACGGATTCCAAGCAGGAGAGTGGGTGGATCAGATTTGTTATTTGGAGGCAAGAAGAGGGGGCACAGCTCAGTTAGTGACCGACCACTCTAGCAGGCAGGGCAGGACAGGCTGCTGGTGAACACGGTGGAGCAGAGAGAGCATTGTCTGACACGTACTTAAGATGCGGAATGGAGGGAATTCGGTGGGAGAAATCGAGAATGGCAGACTGCGCCCCCCAACATATTGAGAGAGTTGAGCTGAGGGCGATTAAGCCTTTTCAGGCCGAGGCAAACTCTCTGCCCCCATCCCCATCTCCTTGCCTAAGGCAAGACAAAGCCTCACAAAGTTGTCCCACAGGGAGAGCAGTAATAAAACTACCAGTCAGAAGCTCTGTGCAAGGAGACAGTCCTCGCTGTCTGGACAGTAACAGTCCCAAAGTACCTTTGTCTGCCACTGATTTTCCTACCCACAGAGGCCACTAGGAGGGACTCAGAGACCTTTTTTTTTTTTTTCTGTCATGTCACTTCCCTAAAAATTTCCTGTTCTTCCATGAGGATGTGCTCTAAGTGGCCATGTGTTCAGATAGGTCTTTTCTGATAGCCAACCAAATAGCACCTCACACCTCAGCTTTGCTCTCAGTGTACCCTTCATTGAACTCATTGCAAGGTATAATTATGCGTTGACTTGCTTTTTTATTTTTTTAAAATTCTGTCTCCCATCTGCTAATAAATTACACACAAGTATTTCAAGTTAAAGCACCTTATTTTGTTTCATTGTTTGGGCTTTTAATCTACCATATATATAGACAATGGTGACTCAAAAGTAAGTAAATCTTAAGCAGTAAATGTTAGGCAAATAAATGAATGACTAAATCTAGTCACTTCCCAGGTTTAATTTCTTTAGGAACCCTGAATGCCTCCCTCATATGTGTGAAGACAAATGCTAAATGTGTGTTTTCCTCTTTTAAATCTGCCTGTTGTTACAGGACTATGTTTTAACTAAAGACAGATGAAGGTTGAATAAAAAAGTCACCCTCCTACATAATTCCTAGCTTGCGCCAGTGGGTAAGTGGTGACTTCTGAGGTAACCAGCAACTCACCAGAGGCCTGAGCTCTGTCCTCTCTCTGGGGCTGTACACGCGGATTCACTACTTTGAGTCCTCCCGGCAGCACAAAGGATGCGTTGAGGTTAATTCTAACCATGTCCTTTCCGGTGTGCTTGTCGGCTATCCAGATTGCCTTCTTTTTCAATGTTGAATAGAAGATACGGTCACCAAAAAGAGCCATTGCAAACAAACTGTGCCTAAAGTCAACCAGAAAAAAGGGGGGGAGGGGGAGAAGGTTAAATGGCAGAACAGGCATTGCTTGAATTTTTAAAGCCAAATCCCCCACCTGATCTTTCTTTGTTTGAATTTTAGTCATTTATCTTCATTTTGTAAACTTTGGTTTAGCAAAACATACTAGGTTTTTATTTTGATTCAAGCCATCATACTCAGAACTAACAGGATAAAACTTTTAGTTCCACCTCTTTTCTGGTGATGAAAATGGAGATGAAACCAGGAGTAGAGTGTGAGTAGGGGCTGGTTTTGATTGCTTCACACCAGGCTACGTTTTGCTTCTCCCACCAGCTGGCTCCATAGCAAGTCTCCAGAGAGACAACGCTTCACAGACAAATTGCAAAATGGCTCCCAACACGTGGGAGCTTATCATAGGCCACACACAATGCTAAATTAGTCACATATACTTCCTTCATCTTCATAGTGACACCAACAAACAGGCACTGTTACCATATCTGCATTATAGAGAACAGGAGCTACTAAATTACCTGCCCAGGTCACTCGCCAGTTATTAATTGGTGACTCTGTGTGTAAATAGTCTACCCCACCAGCCTCAAATGGCGCCAACTGTTTTGCTGCATTTCAGAAGCAAAACTTACTGGATTTGATGTCTGATAAGATGGAGGGAGCCACCGTTGTAATCACAGGAACGAACGTGAGTATGGCTTCCTTCTCCACTGTCCTGAACCCAAAACAGCCGTTTGTCAAGGATATCCAGAGTCAGTACCGATATCTTCTCTGGCATCTCCAGCAGTGTTCTCCCATACACACCGCCCAGATCTGCTCTGTGAAGGCGGCCGGGCACCTCTGAAGACCAAAATATCAACCTGGGGATGAACAGGGATGCACAGCCTTAACTGAAGAGAGTCAATAAAGTGGGGGCTCAGGGCTTCACCTCTGCTGCCTGCCCAGGGGGAGGCTGACTGTTTTAAATGAAAATTCATTAAGAGTATGAATTCTTATTGTAAATCCCATGCGGTTTGAAAGAAAACTAAGCTTTTGTAGGAGAACGTCAGGCAGGGAGGAGTGTCTAAAGAGTCTCAAACCAGCCACTTGTTTTGGAGAAAATGACACCTGCGTTTCACTCAAAAGAGGTCCTTTTGCCTTTCAAGTGATACCATTTAGGATTCTTGGCAAGATCTGAAGCTCATTTCAATTTCCTTGAAAACAAAACAAAACAAAACAAAACAAAACAAAACAAAACAAAACAGGGTTTTACCTCTCGATTGGATCCACTGCTATATTTGCCGGCCGCTTTAAGGAACCCAGGAGAACTCGGGAATTGTTCCCTCTCATATCTGTTACAGTGATGACCCCTTCCTGCTCATCTGCCCAGAGCAGCTCCTCATCTACCCAGTTTATGGCCATCCCAGAAATATTCTTCTCCACACTGCACACTGCCTGCAAAACCAAATTCCAGTATCATAAAGAGTTACAATTCGCAATAAAATTGCTTCTTTATTGCACATATGAAGTCTTTACTTTAGTGCTTGCCATTTTAGTGTGTTTCCTGCGTCTTTCAAATGATGAAATAGTAGTCACAGAGTGAGTTTGTTTTGATTTGGCCACAGGCACCCCTCCTTGTGAATAGGTTATTCCCCACAGCCTCCAGAAGCAATTTTGTTAGGGAACCATGTTTTCTTTTGCTCCACCCTTCTCCCACCAAGTCCCTTTCCTCTTGCAGATCTCAAAGAGAAACAGGGTTTTTCTTTATATATATTTGGTTGCTCCTTGCATTTTCTTGAAAGAACCAATAATTTAAAAAAAAAAAAATCAACCTGTATCCTTGCAGCCTGGGCAGGTCAACTAGTCCTTTGGGGCTTGGACAGTGCAAGGCAGAAGGAAGCCTTGGTTTTTACAGTGACAGGTTTCTGTGGTGCCATAAGCCTACTACCATTGTGGTTCCAACTCCCTGCAGAACGTCACTGAGCTTGACTGAGCTTGGGGCTGGGTAGAGACTGCAGTCTCAGAGCTGTGCTAGCTCTCAAGCAGAGCCACCCAGGCAAGCCTTTAAACAACTTCATTCTCATGTTAGCGCTTCCATTTAAATTGCTTTCACGTTCATTATGTGCTGTTCTCTAAGTATTGTTTTAACCACAGCAGCCAGGATACTGGTGAGTTGTTAGGCACCAGGCCAATCCTCTCCTAAGGACTTGACATAAATCCACAACTGCTTATGCTCTTTCCCTGGTTTGGTGACAGGGAGCCTCCAAATTCTCAGATATCCATGCTGTTCTAGCGGATGGCTGGAGAATATGGAACAGCCAAACTTGTTAAGGTGAGGCTAGCCAGTATCAGAGATGTGCTAAAACAGATTTGCACCTAATTGAAACTTTTAGGAATAATTGGAAGGAGAGAGTTTGGTCCGGAAGGAAAAACAAAAAAAAAAAAAAAAGCAAAACCCAAACAATGTGCACTTTGTGTTGGGAATAAATGCTTGAGGTTCTGCTAATCACCTGCCCTCTGTAATCCCTCTCCAGCACACATTCCTCCTGGGACTCACTGCTGGGTTCTACCAGCTGAAGAGAAAGATTAAGGATCTTTTGTATGTACTTGAAATACAACACTTTTTTTTATCTATGCTCAGCTTCATCCCCCACCCCACACCCCGGAGAGTAGAAAGACTTAGAGACTGCAAAGGCTTTTTTTTCCCTCCCAAAATGTCAGCCAATTTTGTTTCCCTAAGTGAGAAAAAAAATGAGTACAGATAAAACAGACTTTCTTGACCTCAGAACTATTGATACTTTGAGTTAGACAGTGCTTCGCTATGGGGCTGTCCTGCACAGTGAGGATGCTGATCCGCAGCCTTGCCTTAGGTCTACCAGATGCCTCCCATCTTACTTAGTTGTGGCAACTAAGTAAAAAGGATGTCTGTCAATATTCACAGAGGGACAAAACTGGCGTAGGTCCGAAATGCAAAAAATATCTTCATAGTGGCTGACTTAACCAGATCAGATGTTTTCAAAACTGTATTTCCTTTTTCATGTTCTTTTAGAGGCTTTGCAAATATCAATTTGTAAGCTTAATCAATAGTATAAAGCCACAGACATAGATTAAATGCCTACATTTAACACATGCACGTTTAAACCATGATGTATTTTCATTTATGTCTCTATCCAGGTACTAAGTACTGTTTAGCTTCTGAGATTAGGCCCATTCCGAAAAGTGTGACCTTAGATAAATTATCTGTACGTTGGAAATTCAGTATGTCACATTTGTCAGCTTTTGTATACATTCCTCCCATACCCCAGCTGATAATAGTACTTTACCTCTTGCCTTGACCCATTAAGGAAAACTCTTTGCAAAAGCCGTCTTTCTAAATCCACCCAATAGAGTCTCTCCTCCTTGTAATGAAAATCCATGACCACCGAGATGCCGGCATCTGCCACCAACTGCTGCTCATTTGTTCCTTCTGGGTCAATCCGAGAGATGCTCTTTCCATGTGAGAAAATTAGGAAGGGTTCAGGACCTGAGCGGGGAGAAAGAAACCAACTTCTAGATTTTCAGTGATATTTAATCTATCCATATAAAACACTTCCCTTGACAATATATGCCGAATTAACTTAAATTTCTAGTCTTGTATCTTAACTAAAAGCTATTTTATTACAGATTATTGGAATATGGGTGGGTATTCAGACAGGACCAATAGGGGAAAGAGGAGGACTCATGAGGCCTATAAAATGCCCAACCCAATGTCTGTTTATTGGCTTCCCAGCATTGGCGTCTCCCATTCTGAGTGTCGAAAGCTGCTGTACACCCTTTCTCGGGGGGTCTTCTGTCTTTCCCTGTCGTTCAATTCTTTGTTCATGCCAAGGAACAAACTCAGAAGCATTCCCCTGGACAACTACCAATATCCCCATTACAGACAGGCTATGTTATCCATAAAACACAAAGTAAATTTTGAATTACACACACAGATAGAAATTCTCTACTCTAAAATTCTGACATTCCAAGTGCTTCAGAAATCCCAAACCCTGAACATGACGTCAAAAGTGGAAAATGCCATACCTGATCAAACAGGCAGACTAAAACTTTGTATAAAGTCATCTTCAGGCTGTAAATGAGGTCTGTCTGTAGACTCAGGTACTATTCTCAATATAGCTCATTTTGTATATGCAAATACTTCAAAATCCAAAAAAAATCTAAAACATTTCTGGCCCCCAGGCACTTTGAGTATAAGACCAATCTAAATGTTATACATCCTCACACTCAAAGCTTATTCTCTCTTTATCTGGAATTAATTTCAGCAGGCATCTTGAATTTTCATTTATGGGACCTTAGCAAGTAGACTGCCTGCCTCCCTGGTCCAGCTCTGAGCTCTACCTCCACTCCTGGAGCCCTTTCCTATTAGATCATGGCCACCTTCTATTCTGACTTCCCACATATCAGTATCGGGACGGGAACCCAATTCCTCCTGCAGAACGCTCAGCATGAATTACTGGGTGGGTTTGTCTTTTACACTCTGAAGTGAATCAGGGGGTAGTCTCATTTCCTGGAGGGAGTCCTTAATCTCTCCTGACCAGATGGGAACAGGTTGCTACCTCCCTGCATTTAGAAAATCATAGCACTCCTGAAGCCATCTGAGGGGAAGCTCAGAGGACACGTCTAAGATTCTTGCTACCTTTCTTGCTGGACTTATTTTACTCTTTTTGAATATTAAGCCTTCATCCCATAATGGAATTTAATAAACAACTTTATTGTTCTAAAGATTAAACATGATGGATCAGCAGGCTCTAGCTCTAGGGTCAGGGTCTAAGGCTAGAAAGCATTCACTCCATTTCAGTGGGTACATGACGTAGAGATACGGGAGGAATGAAGACATATCAGATCAGGGAAATTTTAACAGGTGTCACTACAGATGCCAAAGAGAATGAATTCAAAGCCTCTTCCCATATCTGTGTGTCAACACCAGCCCCCTGCACAGAGGGGAAGGGTCCATGCTTGGTTACCGCTGAAGCTGTACAAGCTCCGAGACACCGTCGAAGACATGAAAGGGCACTGACTGAGAGACAAGTGGCTTTGTATACAGGTGAGTTTTTGTTGACATCTTGATTGGGTTATGAAATACCTCAGCCTACTCCTGGCTAAGGGTGTGATCCCATTTCCTGAGACAGATCAGCTGTCTCTAAAAGTCAGTGGATTAGACTCTCGATGGACAGTTCGATATTAGGAGATAGAGAAAGCAAAAAGTGGGGCCTGCTTGGCAGAAGTGGGTCACAAGAGGTACAACAGTGAGTATTCTGGAGCCCTCGCCTTGACCTCTATTGCCATTTCTGCTTCCTGCCAGCTGAGAGGAGGAGAACAGCTCCTGCCATGTGCTCTTGCTGCCATGATGCTCTGCCTCACAGTAGCTCCTAAAACATACAGCCAAGCAAGCGCAGACCGAAAACTCTGAACCTCTGACCTAAATAAATCCTTTCTCCCAAATGGGTATTCTGGACACAGCTACACAAATTCTTCTGACATACCCGTCTTCTCATGCTTTCTGGTAAGGCTCTCTGAATACCTCACAGAATTTCTCCTGCCTATGGGATTATTAGATTAAAAAAAAAAAATGAAACCACACATGAGAAAATACTTCATTGATGATGCATGGCTACATGGCAGGATCTTTCCGCTGTGCGTTCCCGTAGCCCAGGATTTGCTGCCTAGGTTTGTGCCACTATTTCAATGGGATGCCAAGGACTAGAATGCAGGCATGGCTTGTTTCATAGAGGAAAGGCAGCTTACGCTTTGAGCTAACTAACTTGTGGACCTCGAAGGGATACAGGCCTGTAGATCATTGACAAGGGTCTTCTCATGATTGTGCAGCAAGCTTTTTCTAGAGATAACAATTCACCAAACACATCTGACTAATTTTTAATGCATTTATATATTGATGTGATCAATACAACAGTGGGTTTTTTATGTTATTACATAGTTCACAGGTTGGACGACAGAGGGGAGGACATTCTAACCATTTTAATATTCCTCACCCCAGATTATAGTCCAATTCTTTGCACATAATAGGCACTCAAAAAACTCTTTGAGTAAATTAATTAAGTAATCAAGGAATGAGGGCTGGAGAAATAGATCAGTGATTAAGAGTACTGGTTGCTCTCCCAGAGGACCTGGGTTCAGTTCCAATCACCCACGTGGCAGCTCACAACTGTCTGTAATTACAGTTCTGGGGCGTGGGGATCCAGTGCCCTCTTCTGCCCTCTGTGGACACTGCATGCATCTGATGCACACACACACACACACACACACACACACACACTAAATTTTAAAACAAAACAAAAAACCAAGAAATAATTGTATTTCATTTATTCGCCTGGAATTTTACCAGTGGATAAAGACTATGGTTCAGCCTATGGCAGTTATTTTAATGACAACACAATAACAGCAATTTTTCACATTATGGTCTTATTTAAGCAGATTAGATATTGTGGGGTTAGTTCTTGTGAACTTGAGACCAACTAAAGTCTCCTGGGCATTGCTCCCATAGGATTGCCCTATGGGCTTGTCTATGGTGAATTTTCTTAATTGATGATCAATGCGGAAGTTCTCAGCCCTCTGTGAGCAGTGCCACCCTGAGAGGGTGAAAGAAAGCAATCTGAGCCTGTAAGCCCAGCACTCGGGGAGACAGAGGCAGGAGGATCTCTGTGAGTTTAAGGCCAGCCTGGTCAACAAAGAGAGTCTAGGACAGCCAAGGTTACACAGAGAAACCCTGCCTCAAAAACCAAACAAACAAACCAAAAGAGAAAAAGAAGGAGGAGGAGGAAAGAAAGAGAGAGAGAGAGAGAGAGAGAGAGAGAGAGAGAGAGAGAGAGAGCAATCTGGAAGCTGGGTGTGGCAGCACACATCTTTAATACCAGCACAGAGTCAGGTAGACCTTTGTTCCAGGCCAGTCAAAGCAAGTTAGTTCCAGGACAGCCAGAACTGTTACACAGAGAAAGCCTGTCTGTTGGTTCAACCCCTCCCCTCTCTCCTACCTCCTTTCACCCTTGGCCTCCCCCCTCTCCTGTGTGTGCTTGGCTTGTACGAAGTGCAGAATAGTTTTACATTATGCTGACATCATACCCCTCTCTTTTTACAACCATGGTACTCAAAAGGGTACCAAGTGACTTTGATAATCAATCTTTCCTCTCAGCTTACTCATTAAAAATGGACTCAAGGAAGGTTAGATATAGAATCCAGGTGACTTAGAAATAATACAGAAGCTGGGAGGTTTGCTTCTAAGGCTAGTTAGTCTGTAAAGAGCTAATTTTGCTTGCTGAAAAGGAATGGGTTACCACGTGATACCTGAGGAGTGATAGAGTATTATCACTCCCAAGCCAGCCACAACCAGGTCCTGCTAACTCCTAACCAAACCCATAGTCAAGGTACTCAGGTTTGCTCTAGGTCCTCAGGGCCATAATGGAGGCAAAGGTCTCTGTGGTGCTCATCTTCACTTTTAACAAGATTTCTCAGTCGTTTACACATGTTAAGGTCCCAAGAAGATGGTGGTGAGTGGCAGGAGAAGAGCAAGGCAGGATGTTTATTATTTGGGGAGTGGCACTTTGCATTATTTCATCAATTGGGTAGTACTACAAAAGAGGCCATCACCCCTGTCCAGAAGACACTAATCTTTAGAACAGGTGCCTGGCCACAGATCCCACGGCCAAGAACATGTTGATTCAAGATGTGAAGGTAAGTCTTTCTCATTACAGATCTTAGCATCTACACATCAGGCTGCATGGCTCCAGGAACTGTTAGTGCTTGGCATGCTGTTGTTCAGACGTGGTAAGAACTCACTGCCAAAAATGCTGTTCCAGGCATATTCCTTGAAAGGCTGCATTCTTCACCTCCATGTTTCAGGAACTAATTATAAAGTAGGACCCTTTAAGTAAATTTACATAACTGCATCACTCGGAAAGTGTCTACTTAATTCTGTGATAGTGGAATGCATTTGTTGCATTTGTTGGTTTCTGGCTCCTCTCCCCATCCTGAAAGCTGCAGTGAAGCGCCTTCAATGCCCCACTTCCCTTGTCTGACTTCCTCCTATGCTGTCCTTAAGACCCAGGATTGTCCCCTTACCCCAAGATCACATCTAGAAAGTTTCTTTTGCCGCCAAGAATGGTGGTGTATAATTGGCCAAGAGTTCAATGTCAGCCAAGGCTGTATAGCAAAAAGAGGAAGTAAGGAGGGAAGGAAACAGGGATGGAAGAGGGAGGGAAAGAGGCAGAGAGGAAGAAAGGAAGGAAAGAAGAAAGGAAGGAAGAGAGGGAGAGAAAAAGGAAAGAAGTAAAATAGGAAGGGAGGAAGAAAAGGAGGAAAAGATGGATAGAAAGAAGGAGAGAGGCAGGAAAGAAAGGAAGAAAGGAAAAAAGGAGGAAGTGAGGAGAGAGGGAGAGAGAGAGAGGAAGCCAGCTCTTTTTTATGTGAAGGTAACATTCACAGATTCCAAGAATTAAGGCATATATTGGTTTGAATATAGCTCAGTAGGAG